CGTTTGCCGCAAAATCCTAAAGCAGAAAGCGTTATAAAGAACGGCAGGCCTATGCTCTTTAGTTTCCATCAGTGACGCTGATAAGACCAATTAGCCTAAAAGGAGAGTGGACCCAAGTCTTCGAAATCCTATCTTCCCTCTTTGACGTGATTTACATCTTAGCAAGTCATTGGTAGTTGTCACTTCTTGGGGGTAACCTAATGCCTCGAAACAGATATTTTCTTATATATCTAAGCATACCTCGCGCTATTTGCCTCTAAATGTCTTCCTAAACAGACATATTTTGCGTTTAATGGATTCTTTAAGACTGCTTTTTAAGGATTAATCAAACTGTAATTTGCGAAATTATTTTTTAAATTGAGAAAATATATTTTTGTTTTTTTTCTGAATTTTTAGTTTAAACCACAGCCTCAGACCGATGAACCATTATCGCTTACCGCAAGTTAGTTGCGGCTACAATATCGGTCTATAAGTTAATCTGCGACGCTAGAAATTCAGCAATGAAACACTAAATACGATTGACGTCAATCGTTTCGATCTGCCCTCCTTTATGTCTCCGTCCGTATGTCTGGACTATACTAAGATGGGTGAGTTCATGATGCAGCCTGAAAAGTTGTTTAGCTTTTATTTTAAGCACAAATAAATAATAATGCGTGTCTTTTGTATTGTAAATAACTCGGGTACGCTCCTTGCGTCGGTTACACCATAGAAAACATCGAAGTACTTGCCTAATTCCCGTTATATGTTTTTGCAGTAATGGTCAATTATTCTAAATCCCAGCTGGTTGACTAGCTATATGCAGGAGCTGGACGGGGTCAAAGCGGCTAAACAGCCTGGAGTTAAGCAGGTGACTAAGCCGTACGAAAACAAATAAGAGTACGATTTACTTGTGATATAATTATTACAGTGTCATCTACGCAAGGAATGTACGGGCGCCGTCTGTACTACGAATAGTTGCATCATTATTAGACATTTGTGACAAAATACAAAAGAAGAATGATGCCTAAGACTGGGCCGTGATCCCGCCCATCTCCGTTTCGCTTAGCACTTTGGATGGGGAAATTCGGGAATGCAGAATAATTTCTCCGAGAAATTATTTTGATGGAGCGGCTTAGGAGGTATAGTTATTTCCGGTATATTTGCCATCCCCAATCTGTCGCACTCCTAACCCTAGGAGGTTACGGCATGAAGTCTAAAACTCGGGGTCATTTATTGAACCAGACACATTTCCACTTAAGTCAAGTACTTACTTTCCACCGCTGAATTCCTGCCTGTTTCTGGCATATATGATGTAAAATATAGTGTATCTATTGGATGAAATGGTATTCTCGCGAATTTCATACAGTAAAAATTACTCTTAGGATTAATAGCAATTCTTTTGTCAAAAGGGTTATGGAGAGAGAGAAGCGTCATATATGAGTACCTTGCAAATTTTAGGAAAACAAACTATTTAAGCTGTAAAGGGTAATTCACATTCCAGCAACCTCCTTTTCATCTGAGCATACGCACCACAGGCCTCGGAGAAGCAGGCACATTACATTTTGGCTTAGATTCCGGTGCATTTCCAAAACCCTGATCAAGGTTAGCTGCCAGATTTTGCAAGTCACCTGGCAGAAGATCCATTGCCCGATCTCTGTATTCCTCTCGAAGGCCAGAAAGGAAGATTGATCGGCATGCCCTCTGATGTTCTGCAGTTGGAACTGTTGTGCCGATATTTCGCTGCACCCGAAGCAGCCAGTCCTTGGCAGTTTCATCCCTTGACTGAATCATTCCAGACCGAAGGTTGATTTGTGGTTGACAATCACTGCCACCTTGCATGCCACAGTCGTAATTCGTGGAATTATGAACTAGGACTGTGAATCCCGTGGGAGATATCCTGGCAGGTTGCTGCCTTACTCCACCCGCCTGGCCAGGAGGGCTGCCGATTGTTCTGCAAGGAGGAGTGGAGTGGCGCGCGTAGGATGCATTTTTAAATAGTTAACCAAGTCCGCATAGCGTATTCTGACGCATGAATTTTCCGATTACATATGCAGGTGAATCCCACGGACAGCTGCTCAGGATGCATGTCCTTGCTCAGTCATACATACACATAATTTTGCGGATGTGCCAGACTAACTGAGACAAAAGATGAATGCAAATTACTATTTTTTATTGCCATGCCCTGTCAAAGCATGCAGCGTAACATCTTTCAGTGGTTAACAGAAGAAGAGTTTGGAGAAATTGTCTGACATATGACTGTTATTTAATTTACTTCATAGTGCCATGTTTAAACCTGGCTATTTGCGCTCATTTATGCGCATATGGAAATAGAAGCGGCACCATCTGTGCGAATGAAAGGGGCCAAGGAGGTTCCACACTCTCTTTCATAGTGAGAAGGACGCATGAAGTAATATTTTAATCGAACTCACTTTGAAGTATTCTCATCTTGTTGCAACCGCCTGCGGACCGAAATACGTGGCTTGGGCGCCGTTTTTGGATGTATTTTTCCCGATCTAAAATATAACATTATAAGAAACATCATACATAAGACTAATTGTATTTCATCCTCCTTTCGTGTCTCTGCAGATACATTCTGAAAAAAGGCTTATGAATATTTTGATTTTTTGGCTTAGGACTAGTGACTGCTTATTTGTCAGCATATCAGGTATAAATTTTTCCGAAAAACCTGGTCAACTACTTCCTTAGCGGTTTTACTTCCGATTCATAAAAATCATTTTGTTCTCTCCAAAGCAATTTTAACGTCATCGTGAAATCTCGACATGGTAATATATTGGCGCGCAAACCACCGCTTCGACAGTGGGTTTTACTTCTGGATTTGCATCCATTAATACCTTACTTAACATCAAATTAAATTTTCTGCTTCATGGGGTACATAATTTCAGGTTATTACAGGTAAATGAGTTTCCAAGATAGACTCTGGATCTGCGCTCTAGGTTCCGATTATCTGACCTTAATCAGCTCGTCTTCGGTTGCTTCCTAGGCGTTTCCAACAGTAATCAAGTCATGAAATGGAAGCGAATATGCGAGTCCGTAATATTGTTGCAAGAAAAGACGAATGCATCGCTGTGACCAGGAGGGAGAAGTTTGAGAACTACGGCACGGAATTGTAATCCAAAACGTTTCACCAGCCGCTCCCTTCGCACACGGAGAGCAAACAGAGGAGATGCAACAACACTCTGGCATCCTTTATCGCACAGAAAGAATGTGTCAGAAACGACAGAAACTGACGCTGCAGAGTTCGTTGTGGGTATTGCTCATGGCCCGACAGCTATGACTTCTAAGGGAGCCGTGCAAATAAGAGACCGACGAAGTGCATTTGAACAATCTGGTGTGTTTATCAGATCTCATACCCTAACTGCCCTTGTATTTATGTATGGCATACCGGACGACAAATTAGTTCGCGAATAATGGAGCACAAACCGGCAGTCGAGAGATGTGCTCCACTGTTACACGTCACTACTCACACCCAGGAGAAAGACTAGGAATGCAAACTTGAAAGCCCGCGGATAATGGCGCTAGCCAGCAGTAAGACGGGTCAGATATTGCTGGAGGCCTGGGTATCTAGTACCAACTCCATCCACAGATGAGTTGACAAATCCCCCTGCGGCCAGGAGCCGCGGTCCAGCTCCCACCGTCGTACACCGCCAGAACACCGTGAGAAGACGTGGACTCAGCAGTATTTTGAAAAACACTCCATCCTCCCTCCTATTACACCCTATACCCACCCTTTTTGTCTGATTAAAAAGTGTTCATTTGTTGTATTCTCACAGCCTGTGATGATAGCCGCCTGTACGAGACGGAAACTTCGGGCTAACGCATGCACCATCTTAGTGACCGCGCGCTTGTCTTCTTTGCGTCAAGTCATGGGAGTTCTGGGACGATATCTACGTCGACGTTCACGGTGTCAAATGTATTCAACGCGCGTTTCAATAGCATGTAAAATGTTGCGCTTTAATGCGAAAATGTTTTAGTGTTTGAAAGTCTTTGGCGCATAGGTGTGTAATCGTCCTGACTTTGGGTTTTCGTAAGCGAGGATAATTATTCGATGTCACCGCTCTAGTTAGGGTAATATTCACAAAAAAACGTAATGGAAGATATGAATCTACATTGCTCACACTGTTTACAGCTCGGTGAGCAAAACTGTATCAATATTAAAAGTATGGTCATCAGAGATGGATGGTACAGAGCAAATCGTCACTGTTCCAAAATAGGTACTTAGTAAAATTCTCTTGACATGGTCCAATTAACTTCTGTGTTGCGTGAGGTGCCTGCTAAATACTTCTTCTAGATATTGCATGGGAAACACTGATATACGTAAATTTAAAAAAAAAGCATGAAAGTGCGGAAAGAAAATCGATTATACGGAAAACGGATAGCTGCTTTAAGACACAATAAGGTTAAGCCCAAAGTCTTTAGAACTGCACTAGCAATGTTCCCGGCCAATTATAAACAAAACAACAGCTCAATAAACCACCCATTCGGTAGTTTGTACATACCAGGGAAGTGAAAAGTCGAGAGCCAATTATAAAATTCAAAACTATTAAAGATGTAATGAAATATAAATAAAACGTGGTTTTACCAATGAAAATGCGATTTCAATTTATAGTCGAAGCAGATAACATGGAGGAAATATACTTTCACTTTAAAGAAAAGTAGTTCTCCAAGTAAAAACACGCCGTACGAACTAGTAGTAGAAGTATGAGCGAGAAAGCATGGTTCGAATGCATTTGGAGGCACACAAAAAATTAAAACGTCCCCCTATCTAAAACCGAATGTTATGATTACCTAGGATAGTACATCTTATCGCACAAAGTTCCACTTTAATTTTCTGTAAGTCATTCCAAATCAAAGGACAGCGAATCAAATGGCAAGAATATGCTATGTAGTCGAAATGAGCCACATATTAGCCATAGAACGTAGCTTACAAGAGTGATAGTAATAGGATGGGACCCTAGGACGCACACCCCTGACCATAACCCTACGGCTAATTCTGACCTCAACCCCTGATACAAAAACAAATTAACCGAACAACACCTACTTAAATGAATGTAGTAGCGAGTCATATTACATATTAAGCCCGTCTGGCTAAAGAGCATATCCCTACTATCTAACCTTGGTTACTTTCCTTAAAAGGCAAAATAATATGTGGGAAATAAGTTTACATTGTAAGGACGTGAACACAACTGTGATCATTAACTTCCCAACGGCTTTCGTCCAGTATAATGAAAGAGCGAATGCGCACGCAGAGCACACTCCACGAGGAAGAGAAAGGAAAACTGACGATCAGACTGTGCAAGAAGTAAATAACCGTTCCACTGAGAGATCCATACTTACTCGTGTGTTTCCTAGGCTTAACCATACCTTCCCTATTTCTGCTGGAAAGAAAACGGGATAGAACGAGAACAGAATAGCTCACGAAGCAGTCCAGTGATGGTGAAACTATGCAAAATAGCCAGGACGAGGTCGACATCTTCATTGACTTTCATCCACCTAGATAAATGCGTAAGTAAACTCAAAAAACGTGACTGATTTTATGGTTAACTGTCGTCTATAGATCCGGCTTTGCTTATTTTCACCAAACTCCAAATACGGACACGTGAAACGATCAGGATGCTTAGGCGAATTAATTTCTGTTTCTTATCTTTACACCGTCAGTCCGTTTGATAGTCGGGTATACAAGACATGTAAAACACCAAGAGCTGAAGAAACTTGGATTTGCCAACTCACGCCTGTACGGGATGCGAAGAGGCCCACTGCCTAAGAGCGTCACTAAAATGCAAATAAAATTAATCCCAGGTAAATGATAGACAATAATGTCGGATAGCACACAGGTGAATCTGTTGCACGTGCAATGCATAAACGAGAAGCTATCGTTAGCTGTGTCTTATGAGCATTTAAAACATTATATTAAAAGTGGATACAATAAAATCTTGGGAAAGTAAATGTTCACTATCGAAGGAAGTTATTCCTATTTTAAAAAAATATTGTAGATCCGCCGAAGTCATCAGTTTAAAAACGTAATATTTTTATAGAAGTCGGAGAAAGACATACGGATTGTATGCTGGCCGCTTTCGCCACTCGTCAAAAGTCATTTTAGATTGCATCTGGGGAAAATTTCCGCTGAAATTAAAATAGTTTTTATTGTGGAATTGTTCAAAATTATTTGCGGGTAAGTTAAGCAGTTATGTTATATCACCGCAGTTGGGTCAACGCGTGTAGTAAACCTTTATATGGACAACCGATAGGCCAATTACGAGAGAATGACTACAGTTTTCAGTTGGGATTTTACTGTGACCAGTAGACACCTTAAAGTTCTTGGTCTTCTGCTATACGTATAACTTTCTTGAAAATTCACACGCTTGGAAGATTATGAGAAAATAACGAAAACTATGTTTGTAGAAATTGTTTGCAAACTGAATGAGGGCGAACAACTGACACAGCTGGAGAAAACCATCCGTAAATCAAGCACCAATTGCCGATGCCACCACTGCACGCTTATCACTCCCACTGCTAAAACTTCGTGGCCAAGTTCACCACGTGTACTAATGACCCATCATTCACGTTTAAAAAAGCAGAAAATCATTTTTGTTAAATTTAACGAAGTGATATGTCTGGTATGACCTGACTGAACTGGTCTACATTACAGGCAAGAACTTGCTTTTTTGTAAAAGAATGTACTTGACAAATTAACGTTCTCAAACATTTACGGTCTGAAAAACTTCCTGACGGTGTTTCTGAGAGATGAGTTAATGTTCACTCAGTAGGTATAATTGACCGTGCCATACAGCTGATATTCACGCTCGTTTTTAAACAGTTTA